ACTCGTGATGTCTACTGTGTCATCAAATAAATTGGAAAACTCAGCGCATGGTTTCCCCATTGCAGTGCCATAGGAAATTGTTGACTAAACAGTGCATTAAATAGGATAGCGCAGCATAGTTTCATGTTCATAAGTCACCCATAGTATACTTCAATTATATCCTATTTTCTTTTTAAAAAATTGATTTTATTTTTCTATGATACAATTTGCTAGATATTATAAACATCATCATATTGACAAATATATAGACCGAAAAAAAAATTACTATTCAGCAGACGCACGGAATGTGATCACAGTTTTTATGTGTTATGTTAAAAGACTTTTGTGAATAAGTAGGGGAGGACGCGACCATTCAATAGTGAAAATAAAACGGCTGACTTAGCCATAATAAGCCATGCTGCGCCGAGCTAAAAGCTAACTTTTGCTAGCGCAGTGCTCTTCGCTGAGCCATAAGTTGTTACCAAAACAAGTCCTTATTAGCTCCAAGTCATTAGCTCGACTGTAAAAAGGCTGAGATTCGAAACGGGTGGGCGCTGATCAGTACGATACGTGGACAGACTTGACATGATTTGAATTATATCTACAGGGTTTAAAAAAAAAACAAATCATTTTTTTAGTTAGTTAGTTAGTTTCCTTCGTTTAGTGTAAATGAAGAATAATATAGCACAACATAGCATAGCTTGATGTTGATTATCCACCCTAGCACTATTGACCAAATGTAAATCACAGAGGACGCGGCCACACAAACCGCGACTCCCCCATGTCTGAGAGCGGATTCGAAACGTTCCAACGGTACACCTGGTACAATGAGTTTTGTTTTTATTTTGTAATTTACCGTTTGCTTTAAAAATGAAAATCTTTATAATTGGGTGTACGAACGACACGTCCAACGGAACTGTGTTATATTTATCGAATCTTATATTAAATTACGAAAGGTTGGTTCGTTTCTTCTAAATTTTCTTAAACGAATTATAATTGTACATTCAATTAACAAATATCTAAGCGTTTATATTTTTAAGTATTTTTCCGTAAACCTAAATGATCTGTGAAATTAAACAAGAAAAAATTATATTTCCAGTCAAACTGACAAATCATACATAAAATAATCATGTGGACATTAGTATGCTCTGTGAGGTAATTAATTAAACGAAAACAGTTAAAGAAGCTAACTGGCATACTTGTGTTTGCAATCAGGGCACATCCGATCTAACAAAAGACCTCTTTTGTATCACTGTGCTGTTATGAATAACGGACAAATGTCAGTGTGCAATATTGAAGGCATACTCTATTATACACTCTACAATACTTCGAATTCTATTCAAGTAAGAAAAAAACGTGACTTTTCTGCTTACGATCTGATCCGAATACACAAAGAAGCTGATCTTTTATTTAGGAACTGCGGTATTATGTTTACACCTTATAAAGACAGCCTCGACTGTAGCTAATTTCTTCTCGGGAATACCGATCGACATTACAAAAAGTAAACGAACCAAAATCACGAACAGTAATTACTTTTCGTAGGTACTTCACAACAAATATTGGGATATTTTCCGAGTTCATCATGTTTAGTTGTAGATATTTAGAAGATAGAGTTTTCAAAACGTTTTATTTGAAATAATAAAATAAAAAATCAAACCGATCGGTAACGTTGTAACGAAAGTCAAAAAGTTCAATGTCCGCAATAGGGACACCATTTTTGGAGCTCCATTCTCCATAGATGGTGAAGCATTATGATTGATCATATTGTGATAACATTTTTTATGTGTATCAACGAGTTCTTCTGTCAACAATGAGTTATGATAATTCCAACTGCTTATATACCATTATTTACCATTTTAAACCGATCGATCAGACATTGAAACCTTTAAAACATCTCGCAATCAAATTTCACTATATTCATTTAGTCTGGTCAGTATCGCGTATGTTTATTACTAAAAAGTATGACTAAGCAAAAAATAAAAACTTCGAGCTCAATGCCTAGTCGGTTATTCGTTCCATATTTTTGATGACAAATTGCAAGACCGCGATACAGTCTTGCCTAGCGCGAATACCACTGCTAATAATAATAAAAGAACAGCGTTAATGTTGTACACTATTGGCTTCTTTGTGAATTCTAATGCCTACCGCTGTAATAGTCTTTTTTTTAAAACGAACTTATGACCTTCTCGTTCTGCTTTCGTCCTATATTGCCGTCATAAAGAGCAATACACGAAACACAGGATATCCCACGTTTAGTTACGCGACAAGAAGACCGCAGTAAGAAGGCATCCTGCTGTCACTCGCAGCGCAGAAATTGCTAGAACGTTTCAAATCAAATGCCAAAACTAGATTGACTAACTCGCACGATGAAAAATGTTTCGGCTTCCCCGTCCTTAATAAAAGCTTGACAAAATTCACATGCACGCTGCTAAAATACGTGTAGGTATTTGTATAGAATATATGGATATAATGAAACCAATATAACATGGTTGTAGGTAAATTAAGTTTTTTTAGTTGTGGTCAATGGCTTATGTTTATCTCTTGGCATTATCAAGAGCAACTTCTTCGCGAATGAATCTACTACCGGATCGGAATCGCGACCCGCTGAAAAGATCCGGTGAGAAACTCAGCGGGCTGATGCATGGATTAGGTTGCAAGTCGACCTCTTTGTCGAGTTCGACGCGTACGGTTACCGAGGTCCCTAAGCCTGCTTCTCGTATTAGAGCTGAAGGCGTCTAATGCAAAGGTAATTGGATCTGATGGATCCGTAAGGATGTGACGCTTTAGCCCACAATCAATTTAATGCACTATAATTCTATAATTGTTTAAAATTCTCCATATTTTACAATTACAAACAATTACATTATCGTTATCATTTTCTCCTATGCTTTTCAATCGATTTTCGTTTTGTTTTTTCGAAACAATTGACTAGCTTCAGCTTCCAAAATGAAGATCGATAAATAAAGATTTTGAAAAAAACTTTTCTTTCTAAAAAGCCAAAACAGCTGTGGATTTCTTTTCTCCGCAGTTTTTATAAAAGAATATCCGGAAATCAACAGATCAAAACTTTATATGGGATTTATATTCAGATATATTCAGATTAAGTACGTATTATTTATTTTCAATAAATCGTATATTTATGCGGCGAATATATCGTTCGATAGTCACACCGCACAACGCAAACTGTCATTCCGTGCAGTTGTATGAAATTTATTAAATTTATTGTTGTTTATTCGTAAAGACATTTACGTAATATTATTATCTCACGAGGTAGGAAGTTGACAGAGTAGTCTAGTAATAAATAAATTAATGTGGTCCTATTTATTGGATAGGTATCAAGTCTAGTTTTCCCAATAATATGAGTATTGGTTTAGAATCTCTGAATACAGAAAGAGAAGAAAAAAAAATAGAACTTTAAAAATATGAACCTAACCTACATCATGGAATTATATATTTATTAAATAGCATTACTAGCTAAGGTTCCGGTTAAAATACCCAATGCTAAGATCGAAACATTTAATTTAACCAACGTCCTATTTTATTCTTCAAATTTTGATACTGTAATTACAATTTACCGTCAAGAACCGAGAGATAATCCCGACTTGCCAGCCCTTATGTTAAAAAGCGAGCACCCTTGCCTTCTGCCGGCTCACCCCAGCACCCTCTCTATTCTTGCACCCCATACAATAACGGACTACACTAGTCAACTTCTACTGTGCAAAACATTTATTTCGAATACTCCAATCCCACAATGTTTCGTAACTAAAGCAAAATTGCTACACGTGTTTATTGGGCTAATTATTGGAATTCTAATAGAGAAAATAAAGGTGAAATACACAAAGTACAATTCAATGTGAGAAGAAAATAATTATCTTAAACACCAGCGTCTGCGATTACGACGGGCCATAAAAACTTAAATAATATCATTAAACTTAAGTTTACTGTTAAAAGGCCCAGTTTTAGTAATCAAGTAAAAAACATAGTAGTAGTAGCAGCTAGTATCGTAAGCTTATACATAGATACACGTGCACAATCGTTTAATTTAAAATTAAAACGAAAGTCAAATAATTTCTAAAGGATAAAGTAATTTAAATTTGTTATATAAAGGACGCTGCCATTTTTTGTGGATATTCACCTCAAAAACATAGAAAATATTTAACTCGCAACATAGTATGTAAACATTACTGACAGTTATGCGGAAAATCAGAAAAAAAAATATAAACAAGTGCAAACGTACATACTAGAGGTGGCTAATATAACCAATAACCAATAAATTTACCGGTAAAAAAAATTAACACTTCTATTCGATAAATAAAATTACCCAAAACGGTTAAAAATACCGTTTACCAAACACACTGCGTGTAGTGGCATAGGCAATTATTGGAAATTATATTTATGCAAGTTTCAACTTTATTTCAACACGTAAGATTCATTTTCGCCTTGCAGATGTCTTCAACTTATCATGTAAAAAATATTGAATTTTATGATTTCATTGTATGCTCTATACCCCTCAAAATAAAGCACAATATTTAAGTTGGTGTATTTTACAGTTAATGATAATTTTTTTCGTTAAAAAATTGAAATGAAACGATATTTTTACCGAACGCGAAGATGACGTGATTGGTTGATTTTTTAAACGTAATATTTTGTTTGGTACTTGACATTTTGGTGGCTCAGTGCATCTTTTCTATTATTTTGGTAAAGTTGTGTTTTTGTATTTTAAGAGATTTGTACTTTGTGTTTGTGTGTTTTGACTTTGTTTTTGTGTGTTTGAGACTTTGCTTACTTTGTTGTTGTGGATTTTTAAATTGTATATCTAATTTAAAATGCCGAAACGCAATGCAGAAATATGGGATCATTTCGAAAAGTGCTAGTACCATTCAAGTTTAACATTAGCAAAATTAATTTTTCAACGAAAAGATTTACCGGTATTTTCAACCAATAAAAATATCGGTAATTTTTTTTATCAATTACCAGTTAACAGATAAATAAATTCAACCGTTAACGCCATCTCTAAGTACATACGTGCACTGATGCCGGCCGGTGTGCGGACACGAGTAGTGCAATCAGGTGCAACCGTCCAGATCGTCGGCCGCCACGTAAAACCAAGAGGGAACAAATTGAAGCGGCCGGCTGTTTATAAACATTGAGACAGATGAGCCTGGACGCGATCAATACGGCGTCGGTCCGAACGGTAGGCCGGGGCTGTTCCAACTAGATGCGCGCGCGAAACCCGCTCTAGACTTTGGCGGCGAGCGCGCGTACTCTACGGGCGACTGACGGCGGCCGTCTATCTACGGTGACTTACGGTGTCGGTGTCGGTCTAGCGGTTACGTCACGTGCTCAGCGTTCGACTCCCAGCTACTAATCGCGGCCGCTAGAGGCCGGGCTTGCTCTCGATCAATACCGCGACTGACGGCCGTCCGACGCATACATTCTACTTACTTATACACCAGTGTATATTAGGCACGCCACGCACGCTTTTGCCGGTAACCTCTGCGATACCAATACGCTAGCCAATCAACAAAAATTTTCTACTTCAAATTACAATATTTATACATTTATACGTGAACCAAACTTTGTGCCGCATTTTACGAAAATTGCGCCGACAGAGGAATATAAAAGTACATTTAATACGTGAAGGAAAAACTTTGTACTTCTTAAGAAAATTGCGCGGACAGAGGATCACGAAATTTCCCACACGTATAGTTTACATAGGAGTGCAGAATGCTAATTTAATAAAAATAAATAAAATTATTCATGAAAATACATCTATAAAAAAAACATCGCACACTATATATTACCATGTATTTGACACACAAACATATAATATGTATACTCTTTTGTTTATATTAAAGTCTGTGGTTTTATTGACAATAGATTGTTTGTCAATCATTAATTGTCTTGTAGCCTTGGCGAAATCTGTGATTATATTTGACAAGAGAGCCGTAACCTTATAATTTAAATTAATTATGATCAAATTTTGAACGTTGGGCGACCATGTTAATTTCCTATAGTTAGTTCTTTGTTAACAAAACAATAGGTACTTGGAAATCCACCAATGAATGCAGTTATAAAGGTTGTAGACCAATGAAAAACGTTTTTATAACAGTCATATACTTTTATTCTCTTCACATCATACTTGAACTTTAACTAAAATTAACACCATGGACGAGTCGTCTTGTACAGCAACAAAAAAAAAACCAGAGAGGAAAGAGTGGCATCACTATGTGGCACCTTGCTACTGAGCTCGACAAAGTTAAAAAAACACTTAGGTATAAGACTGATGTCCACTATGAAAACATTTACAAAAGATGCAATTAACTGAACTTAGAACATAGGAATAAAGTAAAGGATAATATGTAGTAATTAGTGAAGCGGTTTTTGGGGATTAGAGCATGATAACGGACCACCTTCGAAGTTACGGCATTTTTTCAGTACGAATGTTTGAAATCGGAATTTCATTAATAAACTGGTCGACCGGTGTATTTAATGTAAACCTAAAATGGATGAGAAGATAGAGTCCAAAACTAAGAACAGCTATTAACACAAATATGTAGTGACATCGGGCTGCTCACAAAAACCTGATATTACGACAAAATGTTTGGTGATATTATAAATTCATATTTTACTATTGAATATGCAACACTAAATTCAAATACCGTTACAAAATATAATAGTATATAGATAAAAAATGTACAGGGCTAATAATATTACAGACAGACTTTCTGCACGTTTGATGATCTCACACTTAAGTTCGTGATAGAGAAATGTGTACATTTTTAAAATAATATTTTAAATGAGCTCAGTAGCGTTACGGGTGTATTCGAACAAATTAAAATAGCCTTGAAGTTTTCAAATAAAATATCCATTTCTACACTATACTTTAGAAACAACTTGTCCATCTCTGGTGGAAAACTGGGAACGCACGCTAACACAGCTTTCCGGAAACAAAACCGTTTCCATTGTAATTTGAAAATTCGCCGCGAGATGGCGGCACTTTATAGAAAATCTTAAAGCACTGGGGAGCGTACCAAAAACATTTCGCACATACGCCGCTTTAAAGTCACTTACGTAATTTTTGTTAACACTGCACTGAGTATGATAAAATACATTTTTTAATAGTTATTAGTGAGACCCGAGAGATGTTTGCTTTTACTGATCAAGTTTAAAGTTGTAGTTTAAATATTATTTTATTTCTATAGTCTAGCAGAACTAAGATTTATTTAATAAGATGTTGATTCTCCAACGCCTCTCACGAAAAATTACATAATTTGCAAAAGTGACGTTATCGCAGCGTATGTGCGATTTCAACAAGACTATTGAACTAAAAGTTCAATTAATTTTAGTCTCCTTCCATAGCCATATAGAAAATCGGAAATTTAAAAAAATATACAACGGCACTCAAACGGTCCCACAATATATGTTTTCGCAATTTACGTTGTCAAAAAAATCAACGCCACATTTACCGTAAAGCAAAATTATTAGAGTGCGTTCTCCTTCATACGACCAAAAAAAGTAAACCAGTGTGCTTAGTGCGAGTTTCTTAAAGTTCTCGATAGCGTAAAAGCTTTGTATGCATTTGGAACAGCGCCCCTAGCGGCAAACGTACGCAAACGATCCCACTCCATACAAATATGAGCTAACTTTTACGCTATCGAAGACGTTAGAAAACTCGCACTAAGCACACACTGTAGTCTAGTTAGTTTATCGAATACAATCACACGATGTCACTTGAGACGAAAGACGCTAAAGGATGTGCGCGGTTCGCGGTCACCGTTCAGTAAACTTTTAGTTGATTTTTATCATCAAAGCCGGCCGAGTGACCAGCGTTGCGAACTATGAACGAGTTACCGTCGAAATGCATCCGTCTCTCGCCGCGGCTGTGGGAAAGTTTACAATATCGAATTACGTTCTAATCGAAACCAGTACAACTAGAGCTACTTAATCTGCAACTATAGCCTTACGATACGATCATTAAAATACAAATTACTCGAGTCTCATTATTATTGTGTTTTATTACTGCGTATTGGTAATTATAGCAAATAACTTTGCCATTATGTTGCTCTGTTTCTATTATTCGTTTTGGGTTACAACGATCTTGAGTGATGCTTCTATGACTTGAAACATGTGTAGTTATATAGGGCCCAAAAGTAAAACAAAATGTTTTTAATAAACCATAATGTAACTAATCATAGCTCTTATGGGACCGACTGTCATCGCAATTTAGACCTTAAAAAAATTTACTGATCCAATACAATTCCGTTCACATATTTTTTTCGTAGACTGGCAATTTTAAATATTACAGAGCAACGAGCACAAAAATCGCAACATGTTTAAAATTTTTTTTTATCATGCGTTAATTTCCTTTAAATATAGAAGGAAGGAATGTTTTTATTACAACTTAAGAGTCGGTCAGCCCATGATCCTGTGAGTATTACGGGATTATACCGGGGTTATTGGTTACGGGAGCCCATAAATATCACAACGTAAACGTAACGTCACCACGCATTTAAAGACATGATCTCATCTCATCATCAGAAGAAGGCAGCGGCCCCTGCCTCTGCCCCTGGCATTGCTGAAGTCCATGGGCGACGGTAATCATTCACCATCAGGTGGGCTGTATGCTCGTCTGCCTACAATTGCAGAAATAAAATAAAAACAATATTTGGGTAAAAAAATTTGGCAGGATTCTAACACTACCCAACATTAACTATTACCGCCCGCAGACAGCTATGCTGGTATTGCTAAATAAGACAAAATACCGCCCAAACTATCTAGAATTAGTTAAATGGACAGCATTATCAATAAAAAGCTTTGCGGTTCGATACAAAAGTTTGCTAAGCCAAAACCAACCTTCGCGGTTACAATACAACCTACAAATTACGTGTACAAGTGTGTGCGTGTGAACACTGACCGAACGAACAGGTGCTGTGTCTGTCCGAGCGACGCGGTGCAGTGGAGGAACGGACTGGTGATCGAAGCGGAACCATTGCTCGGACTGGTACGCAGCTGATACTTGTGACTGCACCGATGGATCCTGATGGACATTCGATATTTTACTACAACTTTTGTACAAAAAAAAACACGTCAGTAAACGTGCAAACGTTTTTATTTTATATTGCTTAGATGCGTGGACGAGCTCACAGCCCACCTGGTGTTAAGTGGTTACTGGAGCCCATAGACATCTACAACGTAAATGCGCCACCCACCTTGAGATATAAGCTCTAAGGTCTCAAGTGTAGTTACAACGGCTGCCCCACCCTTCAAATCGACACGCATTACTGCTTCACGGCAGAAATAGGCGGGGTGGTGATGCCTAACCACGCGAACTCACAAGAGGTCCTACCACCAGTAATTACGCAAATTATATTATAATTGCGGGTTTGATTTTTATTACATGATGTTATTCCTTCACCGTGGGAGTCAATCGTCAACATTTGTAGTATGTATTTCATTAGAAAAATTAGAACCCGCCTGAGATTCGAACACCAGTGCATCGCTCAACACGAATGCACCGGAGGTCTTATCCTTTAGGCCACGACGAATTCAAATGTAAGAACGAAGCAGATTTTTTCCGTAATGAAAACAGATGACTTCTAAATATCGACGAAAGAAAACGGAATTGTCGTAACTTAATAAACTCAACTGTACAACCAAAACCATAAAACTATTTAAAAAAATTCATAACTCATTTCATTTCATAAATTTTATGAATAAAAAAAGAGATGAAAATTTGATCGAAGGAAAACGAGACCCAAACGCTTTGAAGCTGTATTTTTTTTTATACAATAATATGGTAAAAGGTGATTTAACCCAAAATGCAAGTTACGTTAATTCCGGTCGATGTAAAAACAAGTAAAATCATTTTCCAAAAGCCGATATATGAGTCGTCTATTATCAAAGGTGGCAATCTGTGCATTTGGACAAAAAAATGTTAATGATATGTCAATACAGATTGATTTGAATAAAATCGTCTCCTTCAAAGAATACGGTTCAAAACCTGCATTAAATAAAGGTTAATACTTAACCTGTTATTTATCTAAGATGTCGTTCAGAAGAGTTTTGTGACTGCCAATGGAATACAAAGTCAATAATTCGTTTTTCTGATTTACCAATAATTGTCCAAAAGTCACATTGCCGGCTTNAATAAAATCGTCTCCTTCAAAGAATACGGTTCAAAACCTGCATTAAATAAAGGTTAATACTTAACCTGTTATTTATCTAAGATGTCGTTCAGAAGAGTTTTGTGACTGCCAATGGAATACAAAGTCAATAATTCGTTTTTCTGATTTACCAATAATTGTCCAAAAGTCACATTGCCGGCTTTGATAATAGTCGACTCATATGAGGTATTTTAATCACAACGAACCGAGGTACATAAATGAAAGTTAAAATATTTTGAAATGTAGGTACTTTTTGAAGAGATAATCAAAATCCTTTTTACGGTTCGATCTCGGGTTCAATGTTTTCATTTTATTATATGCGACGCTTCGAGTGCCCAACAGCTTTCGTGGTCACGGATACACGTCATTTCGGTTCCTCCCGATCCACTAACGGTGCTTTTAGGTACCTCAAGCACCGATCACCGTTCTCGGGCTCGACGAGTAAATTAACCCTCAGACACAGCCCACAGAGTTTCTCGCCGGATCTTCTCAGTGGGTCGCGTTTCCGATCCGGTGGTAGATTCTGGGAAGCACGGCTCTTGCTAGGGTTCGTGTTAGCAACGTCGTCAGGTTTGAGCCCCGCGAGCTCACCTACTAGTTAAGGTTACGCTGAAATAGCCTCTAAAGGCTATCAGCTTAGGTAGGAAAAAAAAAGGTCACGGACGCGACTAAGCGACCTTCATCGACATTTGTATATTGTGCTATAATATATTATAACTGTTAAAATATATATAATATGATATAACTGTTTAATTTTGTAAATACCGTCTAAGCTCAAGTATTCGAAACGTTCATATGAAATGAAGTAATTTTACTTTATCTATTAAGATAAAGTAAAATTACTAAAATATTTAATCGCAACGAATAGGTAACCCTGAAGATAAGGTACTTTTAAAACTAATTAAGTCACACAGTGGACGTGTTCAGGGATAATAAGGAGAAGAAACCCCCCATGGAATAAAAAGTGAAACACTAGTTTCTTGCCGTAAGAAGCTAAGGCTAAGCTTAATAGTTAAGAAATATGTGTTACGATTAGAATCGATTTGTTTATAACATGTAATTAGAATTTGTAGCTTGTGTTGCACAGTTGGCACTTGGTACTTTCGTAAAGGTTTCTGGCATAACGATAAGTCACGTGCGAATCATTTCAACAAAATATGTACATACATAAATATATTCATATGAGACAATAGACAGTGTATTTGTGAATGATATAAAATAATTAGTTAAAATAGTGCTTCAATTCCTCCTGCGCTTTCTAAAACTTTAGCTCTAATTAATGATTCGCTGTATTGTAGTCAAACTTGGTACATTCGTTGGAAATTTAAAGATCTCTTTTTTTATTTATTGCTTGGATACGTGGACGAGCTCACAGCCCACCTGGCGTTAAATGGTTACTGGATCCCATAGACATCTACAAACTAAATGCGCCCACCCTGCAAAGTAAATGCAACCCACCTTGAAATATAAGTTCTAAGGTCTCAAGTATAGTTACAACGGCTGCCCCACCCTTCAAACCGAAACGCATTACTGCTTCACGGCAAAAATAGACAGGGTCGTGGTACCTACCCGCGCGGACTGACAAGAGGTCCTACCAGTATGAACTGTATGTACTGCATGTCGCTAGGAACAAATCACGCACGGTCACCCTGCTCCAAATTTGGATTCCCTATGTTATGCTTACCAGAGACTGACATACATACTTATATACGTTTAAATATGCACTTATATAGATAATAAACACCCAGACAAAGAGCAAACAAACCTTTGCCTGATGTGGGAATCGAACCCACGACACTCGGCGCAATAGTCAGGACTTCTATTGACTGCCTACACAGACTGCTTAAAAACAGTGAAACAGTGCTGTTAAAAAAACAACAAGTGGTGACTAAATAGTACCAATGAATAGATGTAAATTCCTCTGATTGTGATGTAACTTTGTAACAACTTTGTTCTGCTCTTGTCTCATAGGCCAAATATTCTAGCATATCACAATTCAGAACAACACAGGACTGTCACACGCCCTGTCACAACCAAACACTTTCCACGGGTTCCATATACGAAAGAAGCAGATTCTCAATTAAATAGGACCCTTAAACCTGACACATTGGAGTAAAATAATTTCCACGCCTCTAGAGGACTAAGCCCCGCATGTGTGAGCTTCAGTCCGGTCCTTACAAAAGTACAGTGAGGGTTGTCACAGAGAGAACAGAAAAATAAAAAATTATATGAAACAATCCAAAAATATGATGAAAATCCATGAAAACATTCTTCGATGATGCTTTCATAGCATTTTATTATTATCTTTCATATTAGCAGCTTAGTAAGGTTTTTTTATGTTTTCGTGTAATTATTCCTAATTATATTGAATTTTTAATTATATTCAAATGATAGGCAACGGCTTTGCTAACGATGGCATTGCTGACGTCCATGAGCGACGGTAACCACTCACCATCAGGTGGAACGATGCTCGTCTGTAAAAAACACGGCAAAAAAAATTTAATTCCAATCGGCGATCTTTTTTTTTTTTTTTTTATTGCCCTTGTAGGCAGACGAGCATACGGCCCACCTGATGGTGAGTGGTTACCGTCGCCCATGGACTTCAGCAATGCCAGGGGCAGAGCCAAGCCGCTGCCTACCGCTTAATACTCTCCACAAGCCTCGTTTGAAGAAGGACATGTCATAGCGCTAAAATAGCTCTTGCAATATTAACTCATTAAAGTACCTACATGTTTATACGACATCATAATTACCTAGTTACAGTTAACCGAAGATTTATTGGTATCATATATTACTTCAATAATGTAAGCATCACGCATAGGTGCATTTCATTTATGAATTAAGCAAAAAAGATAACTCTTCAACATTTTTAAACTTCGAAGAACACGAATACGATCATCTGCCAAACGAGCGCTTTCTTTGCCATTTACTTAATTGGTGCTTAGTCTTAGCGTTAAAACAGTTTTATTTATTTCTCTACGACTTATGTGACTCGTTCATTACATGTACTCCCTAGTTTCTTGACCTCGTCAAATAGATTCAGTATGGCCGGTCCGATTAATTTTCGTTAATTTCGCGCGCTTTTTTTACCTCCTCACGGGTAGGTGACCTCACGGGCTCAACCTGAGAGAATAGCCAACACTGGCCCTAGCAGGAGTAGTGATTCACTGAATCTACCACCGGATTCTACTTTCTTACCTCTTAATGGCATGTGGTACGAGCCTCTATTCAAATCTCTGCTCTATACACTATGAAGATTAGCAGGTAATTCAAAAAACTCTCAAATTACCAGCACCAACGGATTTTGGTTGATTAATGACATATCATAATGATTACAGTGTCACTCGGGAATAATCTATTTACTTTGATTAAAACTTATTCACTATAAATCTGATGCTTCAAAAATTAGGCTCAACACCCTCTATATTTTATAAGAGTAAAAATACATACGTATATGCATATATACGTAATCAAATATGCGTGTAAATCTGTATGCTTTATAGAATACCGATGAATAGTTTGGAAGTCAATAAAAAAAAAACTTAAAGTACACAAATGACTGTCACAAATTCACTTTGTTATCAAAACATTCATTGAAGTAGCATGAAGAACAAAGCAATTTCATTATTTTGACCATGTATCCTGTGTTTTTACAAGCAATGCGTACAGATAATACTAACATTATATATTCAATCAGTATCCATTGTGAACAAATCCTATTATCAGCTCCATTTGTTAAGCACACAAGTACGCTTGCTATCTACCAAAGACCTAAAGAGATCTACCGAAGCGGAGTATTGTTCAAATAATGTTATTGTTAAAATACGGTTTTCAGATCGTAATGAAAGGTTAGTATTGTCTGTATTGTATTTCCATTTTATTTTGACAAAAATAGCAAGCTGTTAATACCATCGAAGAATGTCGTGACATGCGCACAATATAAGAACGTTAAAAATCTATACAGGTATATTACGTGAAGCAAAAACTTTGTATCCCTTTTTACGAAAATTGCACGGACGGAGGATTATGAAATTTCTCACACTTATAGAGAATACAGTGAAGGAGTGCAGAACCCTAATATTTTTTTTAAATTATGCATTCATAATACACTAAATCAATAAAAAAACATTACACACACTACCATGTATTTGACACCCACACATATACTGTTTATTGTTATTATATATTATGTTTATTGTCAAACTTTTGTTATTGCTTAAAGTCTGTGGTCAAATTGAAAATTGGTTAATATGGTTTATCTTTAATATTATTTGTCTACAGTGTAGTCTTGCCGAGATCTACTATTATAGAAGTATAGTAGTTTTTGACAATTGAACCATAATAATGTTCAAACTTATAATTTTAATTAATTATAGTCGAATTTCGACTACTGCGGGATCACTAGTTCTTTTAAATTTACCAACCACCGTAGGCGGACGTCCGTGGCCTTCATCGTTTTAGGAGAAGCCATATACAGTACCTCCGTAAGGTACATCTGCCAACTTTAAAATATGAGATTTTCCTACCCTCTATCCCCTACTGTTGGCAGTTCTGCCGCGACGCAGTAATGCGTTCTGGTTTAAATTGTTATACCATTGGTTATACAATATAATTGAGACTTTTACATCATATCTGAAAGTGGCGTCATTTTACAAGTCATGTTTGTGTTGTCTATAGGCTCCGGTCTCCAGTAAGTATTTGAGCAAAATAACAAAAAGCTTTAAAAATAAGCACGAGAGTGATACCTAATATGTACGGACTCAACTTACAACTAATAATAAGCAAAAGAAATTATGGGCGAAAATATTGCTAATATGGACGAGATGGATAGGATAGCAGCAATAAAATAAAGCAATCGGTTGTGACGATAGTGGCAGGTCATCCTATACCAATTTAGATTGACTTATTGATACATATGGGTAAAATGAAGTTACATAATCTGAAGAACTATAATATAGACATTAAATGTAAATTATAAATTGGATAAAGTAGCTATTGCCTTATTTATATATTTTAGGACTCAAAGTATAAAACGCAAAAATCTGCATATTATAAATAGTATTTAGGGATTATAATTTAAGGGGAATTAATGAAAGAATAAAAAGTCACAACTACTATAAACAAATGAATGACTGCTTTCAAAACTCAAATGTAGCAGCTAAATTGAATTTATAAATTTGAATTTGGAATTCTTAACCAAAGAGGAGATATTTCAGATCAAAGTGGTCAGTACGACAAAGCGCTAATTTCATATGTGAGGACCTAATATAACAAACCTATACGAATCGCTAGACACAAAACGTCCTAAATGAGACGTACATAATGATTAAGTACACGAATAATAATATCATTCAATAAATATTTATACAGAAAACAGCATGGATATTTTGATTCCCACGTACACTACATCTTTACAAAACACGTGATAGTCTACACTGTAAGGAGACATAAAAACATTTTAAATAAACGCAGCCTGTAAAATATACATATATTAAATGACAAAAAAAAATATTAGTGGGTGGGTTCCCGAGTCCTCGCAGTTTGGTACCACCATCCTGTCTAGAAATTATTTATATTCTACAACAAAACAAACTAATACTTCGTTTCGAAGGAAAGGGTAACCACCCCTATTCTAATTTCAAAGTTGGATTTTACAGGTTGATAGTCCTGAAAGCTCCTTTTGATTTGATATACATTCTAGCCCGTATGCATCACAATACAAAAGAAACCACTCACCCCAAAACCTAATGAGGTAAAGGACCTAATGAGGTCTCTTTGGTATTCTAAAACGGCTGTCTCACTACTTAAACTAGGACTTTTTCGCGACAGAAATAGGCAGAACGGATTCGTGATAGATACTAATAAAGGCACTGACCTGACCAGTCCATCAGCAGTTTGACTGACCCGTACGTTATTTATGATCCAGTTGTCAATTCCGTCGTCGGTAAGCCAATACTGCGCAGCTTGGAGCAGCGATAACGCCTCGTTCACATACGACGGGCCGTGCCTTGACTCGCTGTAACACCAGCAATACCCGTAAGAAAAATAAAGTACTGTAAGGTGAGTAAAACTGCTACGCATCTCATTTTTTGCTTATTGCCATTCTGCCCTTCTCCGAATGAGGTCCGACAGAAATCTTAGACCACCTGTTCCTCTTCCCTCCAGTACCGCTTAAACCGAAAATTAATTATCCATCCTAATAACACTACGTACTAACATTTCAAGTATGGTATTGCACCTTCCTCGACCTAACCACATATTTTCTTTTCTTATTACCCTAGTTTCTGTCTTTAGCAATGAAGTCTCACTTATCATTCCTGTCTCAAAAAATGAGTTTTCCGAACTTAAGGGTTCAGGGTGCAGTATATTTGAGACTTAGATCTCGTCACTCGAGGTTGGGAATGGCATACACTTTTAGTGTAGGCTCCGGTGACTGGTTAGTATCGAATGAGTCGTAAGAATCTTTTTTCCGTCTACTTAGGCCAATAAATACCACTCCCAGGCTATAAAGTTGCTCAATCAATATTCTCTCCCTGATACTTAGAAATCTAATTTTAAATGTATGTCATGAGCGAAGCAAAGCTATTACCCATTTAATTTGATAAGTAAAATAATGGACGCGCAACATGCCATGCGAAGCATCTCGTTGCAAACCTCGTTTATCAAACTACCTCCAACTTCCATTACTGTGTGCACTCGCTCGCCTGAATCTAATTTCCCACCTAAGTAGTTTGTTCGTATCGTTTCTAATAAACTACAGCAGCATGTGTCGTATTTTATCTACAAATTTCATAGCACATCGCTGGTTTGTTTGAAAAATTCAAATTTATCTGAAAATTCTATCCCATCAACTCCAACTCACCGAACCAAAAATCACAAATATTCTAATACATAGATACCTACTGCAAATATTGCGAAGAGAATCTTAAAATCGTAATGCAGAATGAAAATCTCGCACCGTCTTACCAATGTCGCCTTTTTTCATCAAATCTGGGTGCGTTGATAAAAAATTTATTAAATCCATTTCACTGGAAAACAGTCATTAAGTTTTATTCACCAGTGCTCTAATACAGGTCAATAAAGCCACCTAGCCTAAGCTGCAGCAACGAAGGTATGCTGAGGTTTCCATAAACATCACACAAACCGAAAACAACAATTCAGATAAAAAAAGTTTGCTGCCTACGCGGAATTCGTAGTTTTTGGCTATCTTTTTATCGGCTCCCTTATCAACAGTTTTAAAGAAGACTCCATCCATTCATCTACCAAAAATACCATCTAATACGCAGTACCGGAGGAAGTTGAAGATAAAACAGATTTAAAGAATTAGAAAACCATGAACAACCGTCTTGTAAATTTCATCAAATCGATGTTCATTTAATTTTTATACTCTAAGCTAACATTATACAATCAAAATATAACATGTATGTACGTGTAAGCTCTCTAGTCAATTTTCATCCCGCCCTGAGGTGAGTGCTGAGCCAACACGCAAACTCCCAATTTCCGGTGACGTCTGAGAAAATTGAACTAGATGCCGAGGTGCCAATAGTGCTGCAATATCCGTTTCGAAAACTCCATAAGTTCCGGCAGTCTTCATTGCGAATAATTTAACATATTGCAGCGTCAATCACTAGATTACTAACTACCCACCCTTCAATATACGAAGAGAGCCAGTTTTATTTATATGCTAGCACGTGTTCCATTAACATCTAATTCTAATTTCCAATAGCATTATTTAAATACAAAAATGTGCACGATTCAAATTCTTTTGAAAGTTGTTTTCACTATATTCGGATAATCCAATTTACTTTGTGTGTACTATTTTTCAGTTCTAATGTATCTTGCCACCTTCACTTACCTACTGTTTTACGTCGTTTTCATTGAGATTTTAATTCTATGATCAGAGAAAATTCGTTGAGACATTTCATAATGTAGGTCATAGCGATTTTACTCCGCTAAGAATTCTCCCCAAGGATCTACTAATATGTAACTAATAAATTTCTAGATTGTTGAGACTCAATTATTTCTGCTGTGCCTGTTATGTAGCATCCATGATTCTAATAACGTTTAAAGGCAAATTAAGTTTGTCTATGACCTCCTAGGGTTTTCAAGCTAGAAAAATCTTTAATTTATGCTACTCTACCATTTTACGACCAATCTAGTGTTTATGATACTTTTATTCTAATTCACTGATAAAGGTACTGTTGTCAGGTAGTCCAAATTTTACATTAGCAACTGTTTTACAATCATGTTAATCATCCCTAATAGAGACTCCATCAACCTACTACCGACTCTACTTCATGAAATTAGGTACTTGTAAAAAACGTTGAGAGTGAAGTCTTGACTCATGTCGAGGAATGTATCTGTTGTAGTCCGAGTACCGGCGGCGTCCACCAAGTATACCAGTGCACATTGTTCCGCAGTGAAAGATACGCCTTTATACCACATTTTCGCGTACCTAATTACATCAGAGTCATCAAATGAGTACATTTAGTCATGTCAAAAAATCTAATCACGATACACAACAATTCATATCGTGTAGGGCAGTGGTCGGCAAACCGATCCTTACAGTACTTCTGCGAAATGTTTAGTCCAAGTACGTAATATTACTTATTAACTTGCCTTGTAAGACATGAGTTTGAAACATAAGCTAATAAAATATATGTTAAAAAAATTGGTCCTTGAATAAATTTCAATTGTGTGTTATCGATATTTGGCTCTTTTGGTTGACAAGGTTTTCGACCACTGGTATTAGGTGATGAAGATAAAAAAATTATCGAAACGAAATTGAGAGCAACCCCATCAAATTTGACTAAGTGCAGACTTGGAAAATAATTAGTATTAAAGTTAGACATGTTTAAAATTAAAGGTAAGGCGGTCTTAAGTTTGCCTAAGTACTATATTTAGTACACTAGAGGCACTAATAGTAGACGATTTGCTGAAATATTTAAAAATACGGAGTTAACATAACTACTATAAACGGATCCTCAGGGTGGCGGCGACAATTGAGACAATTTACATCCACACGAAATAATATATTCTCTTTAGTACACGTTACGGTGGGTAGAATACGAATGCAACAGAGATATGCTAACCGTCGGTATTTATACAATCATCTTGGCCTATTTTAATACAAACTGAGTAGGTAATATTAAACATTGTTCATCTTAATTATTCTGCTGATTATTTACGTACAATTACTATTTAATAATATCGAATTATGTAACAAATAACATTATGGCTTATTGCGCCGGAAGCTGTCAAGCGGAAGGCGCCAATAAAATATTATAAGTATAAAGAAATATGAATGAACTATTTACTTGATTATGAAATTACTAATTATATTATAAGAATAATAAGTTCTATATATTTCCTAAGTTCATAAATAATTTATTATGTGAGGCCGGAAGTGTTGCTCGATAACACTACTTACTGACAAAAGTACCTACTCTTAAAAGTTTAAGTCACTTCTGTTTGAAAACACATTTCAATTGTTATTGGATGTCTATACAGATACTGATCTACGCGCTTATGTTACCAGGTTATTAGTCTGGAAAATGGAAGATTTAATCACTGCATTACTTTAAAATCAACAATTGGTCGACAGGGCTTCAGACCGTCACCAAATAATTATATTAGCATTTAGTAATTGTACACTTTATACAAAAGTAATAAATGAAAGAAAATAAAAATGAAAGAACTGATCAAAATGAAACGGCATTTAAATGTTTGTTTTGTTCTACAAATTTCGGAATAAAAAGCCGATTAATGTCAATAAACAAGCATATAGTTTTATTGCAGATTTGCAGCTATTTCTATTTTAGGTATTAATAAGAAAACAATTATTAATCCAATAATTATTTTAGCAACTTATATCCATCTTAGAAGCCATCAAGCAATTTTTAACTAAGTTTAGACGTCCGAAACGAATACCTACTTTTTTTTATTGCCCTTGTTGGCAGACGAGCATACGGCCCACGTAATGATGAGGCTACTCACCTACTGGCACCTACTCTCCAACTTTCTAGGTAATTCTGACCGTATTATTAAATTGCATTTCCAATCCAAGCGACACGTCCTAGAAGGCGATGCTGGACTCTTGCGAATCCACCATCTCGCAGAAGGAGGTGGCGGAACGAGAGAGGGAGAGCTCTTCCCTCTCCGCACTGATCCGTCGCCATCGAGCCGAAGGCTGGAGGAGACAGTGCGAGCGTTCGTCCAGGCCCCTAAACGAAGCGGCCTCCTCTGGTGAAGGTCACGGGGCGACCTGAGCGCGGCGCGGTGTGTTACCATCATTCTAGCGACATCATAAGAGCGACCGTTTGTTGGTGGGCTGCGTCCCGATCCGGCAGGTTGGATCCAACCAGATATCCCGAGACACCAATGGCACTGCCTGGGCGGCCTGACGGGCCGTACGTACTGACATGACCAACATTCCAGAGCTATCGTCTCACCTCGAAGACTCCATCGACTAGGACATCTTTGGGGTGAGCTGCGTATCTAGTTCGAGTGTAGCTGCAGTAAACCCACTACCTTGCCCACGTTCTGACCTCGGGGGGATCGGACGCTTAGGCGAGAGTACAAGAGAGCCGTTTGTAGGGCGCCCTAAATACCATCCTTGGGCTCGCGGTCCGCTCCCAACGTCCGTGAACCGTCCAGATACTCGCGTCCCCTAGGCGCGGAGACAACGTGGAGGTTCGGTCACTAGCTCAGAGAAAGAAAGAATGTTTTTTCACCAAACAGCGGATGTAGGTCTTGGTGGTGGTGGTATCTTGGTGACTAAACATATAGCGATCTCTTTTGGTGGTCACGCCTGGTCGAACTCTATGCCAAAAATTTACAGTATAGTGAATCTTAGTGACTCTTTACCTGAACCTATCTATTTGATACGATTCTAAATAAGTCACGCGATATAATTTAAACAGGGGGTTCCTAGGTTCCGTATCAAACCTAATGTAATTAGATCGAGGCTTCGGGGTAAGTAAATTTCCTGATAAAATTAGCTTTAAACATCAAGGGGCCTCGGCAACATAGCGCTTGAAATATTAGAGATGGCTATTTGAATATCTTAGTTTTTAGTAGATCATTTTATCAAAAGCATTTCTTTAGATTTAAATAATGGTTTTACTTATTGTTGCCTTGTTGGTGGCGAGCTTGGATCTCGACTCTCGATCCATAGTGGTACACACGTCCATTTGGATGTATGAGTGCCGCAGCAGCTCCAGACCGGGACAACGCCAATATTATATTATTCTTCGCATTAGTGACTCTGACTGCACCGTCCATTGTCATATCGACCCTGAAATGTGCATAGTGACGTCATATCTCAAATTAGTTAAGTTTCTTAAGAGTAACTATTTTATAATTACATACTTGACCCTATCTCTTAACCTCAGACAAATAGTACCATGCGGAGTAACCGATGCATTATAGCCAGCGCCACCCATTACATCAGTTACCTGAAAATGTAATTAAGATTTAGCAAAATTTACAACAGCTACTGTCGGAATGAAATTTTTTTCAGTCAATATAATTCAAAATAAGAGACTAAATAGAAACATTTTAAAAGTTCGATCTCTGGAAGACACAGTTATAATGGAGGTATTATCCGACAGCTTAAATTTTTATTAAAGCAATGTCTTTAAAAAATTACGAAGTACCTTCATTAAGTATACAATCGTCAAAGTTGATTACTTCGATTTATAGCACATCATTTCTAATATTACTGAAAAAGTGATGCGCTTTGAAGAAACCGCAAATAATCTTATGTCGGAGACGGTCATTAGTTTGGTAGTTTAACGAAACGCAGCACGTTTTCCGATAGATGACAGCACGATTGTGGTATCGTCGGAATTCGGCTAACTTCATGCTACGACAGAGCCTAGCCGATGGAGGCGCGTAGACGCCACCACACTTACCAACCAGCCTTCTTGTAGAGCGGTGCCTCCGTCCTAAGAACTATCATTCATTTTCGTTTGCTGACGTCAAGAGAAGATTTCTAAATTGTTCTAAGACAACAAACGTGATTGGGGTTCTCTTAGCTCGATCACCCTATTCGCCCCTACGATGTCTGACGATGGTGTCAATAACTGTGGCTTCTCCGACATATATATACGTGAAGCCAAATCCTTGTACCCCTTTTTACAATTCAGAAGTTAAAAATTTCCCACACCTATAGAGAATTTAAAGAAGTGCAGAATGTTATTTTTTTTATTATGCATAAAAATACATTAAATCAATAAATAAAAACATTACACACACTACCATCTGTTTGTCAAGCTTTTGTTATTATTTAAAGTCGGTGGTCAAATTGAGAATGGATTAATATCGCTTGTCTTTAATATTATTTGTCTATAGCGTAGTCTTGGCGAAATCCGTGATTATAGAAGTTTAATAGTTTTTAACAACCAATAATAATGCCCAAACTTATTATTTCAATAAATTATAGTCCAATTCCGACTACTAGGGGATCACTAGTATTGATAAGGAGCAAGGAGCGAAACAGAAGGTCCAATAATATTATCAACTTTTACGCGTACTACTAGGCTTTGCCAACAAGAGACATCTCTATGCTTCGGACAAAAACTCCTCGGCCCTGTATAATGTATCGGCCAGTAGTGGCTCTGTTGCCCACTGAATTTCTAGCCGAACCTTCTCAGTGGGTCGCGTTTCCGATCCGATGGTAGATTCTGCGAAGCACTGCTCTTGCTAGGGCCAGTGTTAGCAACACTCCGTTTTGAGCCCCGTGAGCTACATGTTAGGGTGAAGCTGAAATAGCCTCTCAATACTATCAGCATAGGTAGGAAAAAAAAAGTGACTCTGCTCGAACTGCCACCGAAAGCAATCGCATTTATCGGTTCCAAAGGGAGGGTAGCCATTATACCTATTATTATACCTATTATTACCTATTACCTACTACAATTGAATCTGAACTCGGTTGGATACCAGCTTTAACCTTGATTGCGGTAACCTGCTTATCGCCAGATATGAGCTCCTATAACCATATACAATAATAAATATGGGTAATTCAAATATTATTGTTAGATAGGGCACAAACTTGAATATGACTTTTTAGTGCAATGAATTTCCTTAAAAACCCCGCAATCGACGGCCTATTCTAAATCTGGTTTTCCATTACCAACCTAAGTAGAAATATTCAAATGTATGTCAACCGAAAGTAAATATCTCAAATTAAGAAAATCCGAGATAGAATGCAACAAACAATTGGTATCTTGGATGTGAACCCCACATTTGGACGCTCCTTAAATTAAATGTAAAGTAATTGGGAGTGCTTTAATTAAAATAGACCGCTTGAATACCTTTGACAAAACTGAGTGAGCTTTGCATTTCAAAGTTGTTACGGAACGTCTTGTCGTCTCTATAATAAAATTAAATATATTTCGTGAACTTCTTACAAATACAAGACCGTTCCTTCAACTTAAAGACTAGCAGAACGTCCTAATTATGCTTATGTAGCGCAAGTTTTTAATTAAATACACTTTTAATTAATACGACCGGCTTAAATGTGCATTTGATAAATTTTAACACGCTGCATTAATTACTGTGTCAAGTTACGTTCAGTATGATATCAATATGGATGCCTGGCTCTTCAGATATGTCAATTGGCAGGTATGAAATTTCTGACGTCATGACGTACTGAAACCATTCACCATCAAGTTGGCCGTAAACCCGAAATCAAAACTCATAAAGAGCTTTGCCCGCTTACAAATTAAATAACTAAATCTTCAATCGTCTATATATTCGGATATAACACAAAATAACCCGCCAAAGTATATAATTAATCGAGAGAAGGCTATTTGGTTTAAGCAACATTTTTTCAAGTTTACAGGAGAGCCATTAAAGTTTAAAATTTGAAAAAAAAGCATAAAAAAGCTTATTCAGCTATTTAAATGGATTAAGCTTAATTGTAGTCCAAATAAAAACATCGAACTGCTAATCTATACTAATATATAAATATACACTGGGTTTTACGGATGTTCCGTTATGACTACTGAACCATGCATCCGATTGACTTGAAACTTGAAAAAAAAAAAAACAACACTTCCTACTTGGTTCAATGTGGTAGGCGTTAATCCATTTTTAAGATAGCTAAAAATAGTGAACGGACTCCTTTTCTAGATCATACCGATAAACTAAATAATTATCATGACGAAGCGTCGATGTGAGCGTGCATCATAACTTTGCTAACAGATCACGTCACCGTTCAACATTCAAATGAGATCGGCGCGACGGTGAAATCTATCCTGCACATACGAAAATACTAGTGTAGAATCTCTAATTCGGTTTCCATCTTGATCCAATCTCCAATATATCATCTCGTCATACTAATCTAATCTCATCATAATATTTTAATGCTATTCGCCAGTTCTCTTGAATTTTTTTTCACTGCTAGAATGATTTTTGTGGTAACATCCTCAGATGTCTTCTTTTTTCATCTACGAAACGTCGTGATCTTAGCGTAAAAATTGGTGGAACTGGTTTGCTCGATATGGCATACGGCTATTTTACTTGACGGTTCAAATTTTCATAGATTACAAAATCAAATACACCAAAATCTATGTATACATATATAAAAATGAATTGGTGTTCATTAGTCTCGCTAAAACTTGAGAACGGCTGGACTGATTTGGCTAATTTCGGTCTTGAATTATTTGTGGAAATCCAGAGAAGGTTTAAAAGGTAGATAAATATGAAAATGCTCGGAATTAAATAAAAATAACAATTTTGCTTTCCCTTTGATGTGTCCCCCGTCGGACGGATCCGTTTTGTTTGTTTTAAGTCTATTTTATACAAAAGTTTAAGTATTTTATTTATCGATTGAGGCACTACGAAGTCTGCCGGGCCAGCTAGTATATTGATAAAAATAACGATTTTTGATACGATCCTTGATATACCCGTGCGACCCTAGGAGAGAACTGAGAAGGTACGCCGTAGACACATGGTATTCGTCATGGCGTTCAACGTGTTAATGAAACTATCAAAGAAGAAGAAGAAACTTTCGTTATCCAGGTTCGGTACCTTATACAGATTTTTTTCCTTCCTAAGCTGATGGTCTAGAGGGACCATATCAGCGTCACCGGGCCAGTAGGTGAGCTCACGGGGCTCAAACCTGACGACGTTGCTAACACGAACCCTAGCAAGGGCCGTGAATCGCAGAATTCGCAAAATCTACCACCGGATCGGAAACGCGACCCACTGAGAAGATCCGGCGGGAAACTCAGCGGGCTGTGTCTGTGGGTTAATTTACTCGCCGAGCCCTTCGTCGCAAGCGACGGGTTCGACGAGAACGATGACCGGGGTTATACAGAAAAGTTATCCTCGATATGGAGCGAATCGTAAACATTGCCATCAGCGGTTATATACATTCTTTTTTTTCATTTTATTTAAATTCTTCTTTTTTAAATATTACACATTCAATAAAATTTTAATAAATATAGTATAATAATATTAATAATTTAAAACCCGCTCTCTATTGGAACATATCTAAACATAAAATTCAATGTAATCGGAAAATATTTTGGGGAACATTATGAACAATTCTACTGAACATTGGACGAACGGCTTTAGGGTTCCGTGTACCAATTTAAATAAACTTAAATTTTAAATTTCACCCTGTCATATTCACATTAAGTCCAAATTTTTCTTTGACGCTATTATTAATATGAACGGATTTTAATTTTCATCCTATAGGTACCGTTTACCGACAGGCTAGCTGATGACTCACTTGGTCTTGAGTGGTTACCGGATCCTTTATAAAAATCAGATTAGGCCCTCACGTGCCAAGCTAGGTTCAGGTTGTGACGTCATATATACATATGTATATTGTATACAAACCTATCCACGTGCGCTTAGTAGGTTATTTTTAATGGTATGTCTGGAACCTTTTTATGTCTTTATAATAATATTAATACTCGGTGCTATATACCTCCATCATAGAAATATTTTGTGAACACTAGTTAGGCATGCGTGTATTTATTTAGAAAATCTGGAATATATGCCAGCTTCCAGGCAATCGTGGGCACTAAGAACCGGCTGTGTTATCCATTAGGCCGCGGACACTTCACGGTCAGTGTCGCTTGAATCTATCAGAAATCGTAATAGCCAATTGAACCAAGACCAAAATCTTATGACATCGAAGACTCATAACTACGACTTTCCTTAATTGAAATTAAAGCAGTCACCTCAAGCTCTCGCCAAGTGTCAGCATGATAAATATCATCACCGGGATAAAACGGGGCCTTTCGCTGCAATGGTGCACGCCAGGGGGGCTGCCATCCCGTTGCTCCGACGAGCTCAGCCTGACCTAGTCCACCTTCCAAAAATTTGCTATAATCTTGAAAAGCGGATAAATTCGACTCCTCCTGAATTAAATAAAACATTATGAATATATCGTTGAAAATTTGTTCATTTGTTTTTTATTATAAGAACTTTATGTAAGGATGTACTCCAAACTTATACATAGATTCAATCTCAATAATATTTTCAAAATATACCTGATTATAAGAGTGTGCCGTGTACACGCTCCGGGGGCGAACAGGCATAGTTACGTCCTTCCTAAAATCTGTATTAGCCATATTAACACTTCTAGAACTTAAGACTGTGATCAGACACTGATAAAAAATACATGAACAACGACTAAACTGCACTGAAAATACTACATAATACAATATAAATGACACGGAAGCTCTGATCTCGGACTCCTGGAAAAATCATAGATACATGACAAACTAATGTGTCAGATTAATTCGATTTTTAAAATATTGTAATACCTATACAAGTACCTACATAAGTAAATAAATTCTCTGTCATTATAGGACTATGTCTGTACTGGCTAAAAAAAAATGTAACAAGATCGTAATGATAAGTGCTTTTACCTATTATGCTTAACGGCAATCGTTTAGAGTGTTTATCCAAATTTAAGTAACATTCGCTTTATTTTATTTTATGTTAAATCTGCTTTCTAAAACTAAATTACATCTGAAAAATAAATTGGCCTAGATACAATTTAAAATAGCATAAAGATAAAATAGTTTAAAAGATACACAATTGATGTTTTGAGATTTTAATTTATGATATTTCTATTGAGTTAAAAAGCTGAGTAGTTTTAAAAAAATCTGCATTCTGAACTACATGCCATTGTTACACCCAAAGTAAGTCAGATCATGCGAATACATGATTTTAAATATACCGCCCACGGTTCAGTAAAATTTCCTCTTTCATCCGCAACCTATTGACTTATTTGTTGATTTGTTGTACAGCGCCAGAGTCCAGACCAACGTCACTGCCACGTTCCATCACTTTCGTTGGTTAGGGCTTGAAAAAAGAAAATCGATTTTGTTCATTCACAATCCGTTCAAAGAACTTGGTAACACCGGTTTCGTTCATGTCAAAACCAAATAAATCGGCACCGAATTTTATACCATATTGGAAAAAAATATAATGTAAAAGCTTTTTGGACTTTATTACAATTGTCTACTTTAGTAAGAGTACTAGGCTATTATTTATTATAGTCTAGGCTATTATTTTTATCGTAGTGTTTTGTTACTTCGGTTATTCGGTTGCTAGATTGCTAATATTGATTAAAATTACATAACGTATTCCCGCATTGATAATAGGTTTAAAACATACATAAGATTAAGAAATTTTTGATTTACTTATTAATAGACGATTAAAGGAGCTCACGATGGTGCTAATTATTAGCAGAGCATTAACATATTACAGCCTTAATGCCTCAACGCATTATTGCTTAGCGGTAGAAATACGCAAGATGATTGTTACCAACCTGTTGGGAGTTAACAAGACGGTCTATCACCACGAATTGCGCAAATTATAATGTTTGCTAGTTATTTAATAAGAAAAACCTATTTGTTACCCATGCTTGCTCAAAATTTGATAAATTATACATTTTCTATCATACCTCGAGGAATTGATATTGAATTTTTATTAAGAAATGTTGTATTATGAGATTAGTCTGAAACTCTGAATAAATATTATTACATTGTTAGTTTTTATATAATTAATTATTCAAATGTGAACATAGCCTTGGCTAGCTTAGTTTGTAGCACGATATAGAATTTCAATATTTAGACCAGTCAATTTTATTTCACTCATTGCAATTTATTATTAATATTTACATAATTCCAATAAATCAAAATAATTCCTTATAATGATTGGGTTTTTTTACTACAGCACATGCTTTTTGTGATTGTAGTTTCATTATCAGAGCCCCGACAAGGTAGCTGACAGGCATAACGAAAATATTCGCATTAGGTAGTGATAATATCCTATAAAATAATTAGCTGATGAAGTTAATTTAATATTAATGCTTTCAATAGGATAGATAACTCATAACCAACTTCTTTTCGGTTTATAATAAAATTAAAAAAAAACAGATAGTACATTTATGAATTTTAAATTTTGTTAGAATCGATTTGTGATATAATTCGATTGAAGTTTTTATCATATTAGAGTATCGAGATATTTTTTTTCGTTTTGCGTTAGCTTTTTACGTCTGGTAACATTAACAACCCGCTACCGCCACGTTTCGCCTGTCTCACTTCTCTGAGAGTTTTGTGTCGTCTTACTAGTTGAACGCTCGTCAGTAATTTCAGACTCGTATCCTACAAAACAGGATATCAGAACTATTTTCATCGAAAATGAGTGCTCCAGCACCGGCACCTGCTTACAAAATAGGAATAGTGAAGCAGGTAATACATTATTCTCAATATTCGGGAGTTTTTCGAAACTGCACATTGCCTCGTGCCGTTCTCTTGAAGATTGCCTCGTTGGCACCGCAACGCATCAGGAGTATTTGCTACCTACTTGAGCAAAAATAGATTTACTTAAAATAAAAACAAGTGTTTATTGAATAGCACAGAATAGTCACTTCTGTTGCGATTCCAGCTGGTGTTAGTAGCGGCGAATGTTGACGATATTAGTGCTCTAATTTTATGCGATATATTATTGATATTTGTAAATAAAAACGTCTTTGTCATTTAATCACGCAGGTACTATCGGGAGATACGGTGGTAATAAGAAAACAGCCTCAGGGCGGGCCGCCTCCAGAGAAAGTGATAGCCCTTTCGGGTATCACCGCACCTAAACTCGCTCGCCAAAGGACCGCCAACAAGTAAGTGCGGTATACAGCGATTGTTAATGCACTGCAACTCATTTTAATCATTATTTCTGTCATGAAATGTACAAAAATGTGTTTACTGTTATGCATTTTAATGTGAATGTTTACCCTTTCCTTCCATTATTTCCCTGATTGTTATATCGTGATTTGTAAGATTTCAACCTTAATAGGATCACAGTAAACGTCTTTGCTGTGCTGATATCAACAAGTGGCCAGATGCTACAGTTACCTAACATTGTTTTAACCTTGATTTAGTTACCAATCTGAATGCCATAGTATTAAAAAGAGTTTTATAAAAAATTCAATAATAAAATTAATATCTGTAAATATATTAAATATTTTTTTCATAAGATGTCTAGAAAATATCAGTTGAAATTCTAGTAAAGTTAAATGTAGTCTGAAGTGGTTTTTAACCTAATATTATTAATGATCTTACCAAGAGGAAGTAAAAACGGGTTGTAACATTCCAATATTTTCTCACATAAATCTAGGTCAAAATATAAAATATACAATGAAAATATTAATCATATAAAACTCCCTTCATTTTCACAAAGAAAATTCGCATACTGCTAGAGATTCAGAAGTGAAAGCAAATCTTGTTGCAATTAGAACATTTCTTATGTAATATGACAATGTAGTTTCCTTTCACCATTAACAGTCAAAAGTCACAGAAACAAAATTCCAAAATGACTATTCGAGTTCATCATTATCATCATCATGCTGTATTTTTATGTTCTAAAACATTAAAATGTTACAGTTACTCAAGAAAAATAAACCAGTGTTTCAGATAGGTTATTGTACTTATTAATTCAAGGTAACAGCAACCAATTAGCATCTTATTAAAATTAGCATACAAAAAATACCCATATAGGGTAACAGTCTTTAAGGTCCTCAATATGCATGTTAGTGTGGTACCTATGTTGTTAAAGTGCTTTTCTTTTTAATTATTACAAAATAAACACAAAGCATAGCAAAGCAAACTTGACATTAAGGCACAAAAGCTACTTCATTTAAGTAAATGCCTGGCGAACTTATTCAGATTTTTATCTTTAATACATGTTGGTACTATAGTCCTGTAGATAGTGCCCTCAGATTGATTAATTTATTATTCATAGTAAATAATTAAATTATTCAACTAGAAGTAACTACTAGAAGCTTTTATGTAGGAAACATTGTGAAAGTGCATTTATTGTTTAAAAACTTTAGTTACTTATTATTTCCGAATGATCTTGCTCTTGTAGTTTTTTTTAAAGTGACGGTTGGCTTAAAATCTGTTACCGGCTCAATTTGTTCTGTAGTAAACCCAAAAGTAATGTAGAAGGATACTAAATTTTGTTTTAAACCAACTGGTTAAAAAACTGTCTGGCGGTAACTATGTGATGGATATTGAACATATGAAGGAAAACAATTACCATCGTTAAAAAGTTACTCTTAAAACACTTTCCTTGGAGTATTCTCGATTTTGTTTCAATATAATGTGAACTTGTTAAATTTGCTCAATTATCACAATGCTTTTGATAAATATTATCTGGTGTGTGATTAAATGAGAAAGTAACGCAAAACATTGATAGTCATGAATATAACAAATATAATTAAATATATATCAATGCTTGAAAGACAATCTTAACTAAGCAGCAAAGTAATCTTTACATTAAATTTTTATTTTAAATAATATTTTTTAATTTAATTAGTTTTAAATTTAATTTTTTGTTAGATTAAATTTATTTTAATAGCAGTAGGGTAGATTTTTATAGTTATTCACGATATTAAAGTCAGGCCTAAGCATTTGTTTAAAAAGCGCTTTATGGCACTTAGATTAATAGATGAATAGATAAATTCTCCTTATTTTATGAACAAGTGAAATTATCTAAACTATTAATTACTTTGAGGTATGTAAAATAGGTAAAATAACCTAGTTTAAAATGTTGATACATGAGTATCACATTTATCTATGGGGATCTAATTGCTTGAAATGAATCAAGTAAAATTTTCTAAGCATGCTTGAATGCTCTGTTATCGTAGAAAACATATCTTAGTTATGAAATGATAAACAAAAAAGTTCTTATCTACTTCTTTTTTTTTTTTGTAAAAATAACTGTCCTTCTTTCCACAAGCTTTATAAAATCAACAATAGGGAAATTAAATAGTACTTATTCATATATTCAGTCCAAAATAAATATAACAATATATACCCAAATCAGATTGTAAAATAATGCTATCATTAAGTAAAATTACTATTATGTTTTTTTCAAAGAAATAAATTTACTTATACAAATAAATTTTACCTATTTTTTTTATCCACTTTATTTCACATTACAAATAACATATTATAAAATATACTTAAGTGAAGTTAAAATACATATGAATTGCAATTACAAAATGTGGCAACAATTCACCACTCGATTTGAAATGAGAAGTTCATTACAAGTAAAAATATAAAAAAGCAAACAAATAAAAAGCAGAAAAATATTGAAAACTGACTTAAATTCATGCTTCTATTTATAAGAATCTCGGAACTGCTGAATTGAAACACAATTTCCGGTTTTGGCAGGAACCGTATAATATCTAAGTGACTGTAAAAGTCGCCGTAGAGCTATGAAACCTCAACAAAACGAAGCAGAAAAATCTAGATCACGGATTTTTTCGCTTATGCAGGATTGTCATTTGAGCGTTGATATGTACTGAGTATACGTTTTTAATCCACATATGACAAATTTATAAAAGCTTGATGTGAATACGTATGATGATATGTATGACCGCTTCAACCTAATCAAGAAGATTGATGTGCCTTAACCTAATTCGAGAATATATTAAATCAGTCTGATGCTTTTGATAGCGGGATAATTCAGAGTTAAGGTTACCGCCTGAGACAGTTAATTCAAAATTTCGTGTAATATTATTTCCGAGATTTGGGATGCAAGGTAAGAATCGAAAAACTCCGAAGGTGACACGTTCGAGAGGCTGGCTATTCCCTACCCTGCTTAAATTATCTAATAAGTTTTTATGGTCGGTAAGTTTATATTATTTTGATTTTCTTTTTTTTATTCAAGATTTTTTAGAATATTGGGATGCTGTTTAAAGAAAATTAAATATTTAGTGCAAAATGTTTTGCTTCTGCGACCCATTCCCGACCGGCGATTTGACGAAATGTTATGTTTTCAGCAAATATTATAAGAGAAAAATATTCATTAACAGTGACACAGAAACGAAGGATGAACCATTCGCGTGGGAAGCCCGTGAATTCCTAAGGAAGAAGCTAGTCGGCAAGGAGGTTATCTTCACTGCTGAGAAACCGGCGAATTCAGCGAATAGAGAATATGGCGTCGTATGGGCTGGCAAAAATCCTTCCAAAGATGAAAATGTTACTGAAGCCTTGCTGGCTGAAGGTCTCGTTAAAGTTCGAGAAGGTGCTAGAAATATACCTCAGCTCAAAAAGCTGGTAGAGATCGAAGAGACAGCCAAATCGCAAGGCAAAGGAATTTGGAGTACTGATGCTGATGTATGTTACGTATATTAATCACTTGTGTGATATTATAATACATAAATGAAATTGTTTTTTGGTGAATGATTACATTTAAAAACAAATCTAACCATATCATTACAGAAACATGTACGAGACATCAAGTGGTCTATCGAAAATCTGAAAGCTTTCGTCAACAAATACAATGGTAAGCCTGTAAAGGCTATCATTGAATATGTGCGTGATGGTTCTACAGTACGTCTTTGTTTGTTACCTGAATACACTCCCATTACACTGATGCTATCTGGAATTCGAGTAAGTAAATTTGGTAGAATTATAGTTTAGTATTTGGAGAGGGAAAGAACTAAGTTACAAAAAACTTTTATTCGTTTACTTGGAAAACTCTTATTTATGATACGAAAGCGAATACGCATTGTGTTTTTCCAAAAACTGATTAAGTTTCTTATCCTGACTTGGACACTAAGCTAAGTGTCCAGTTAACATATCTTTAGCAAAGCAATTAGTATCGATTGGAGTGATAGAACATCATCCAATCCTAATATAGGTAGTAAGTTCATAGTTGTAGTACTAATTACTAAGCAGTAAATATACTTTTTATTGCTCTAGCATCTCATCATGTGTCATAAGGTTGAACTTTCAGTTGCATTGTGTAATGGCTATCCCATCCTTCCACGACGACATGACTGCCTCATGGGCATAAATAGATAGAAGGTTCGACCACTATCGCTATATCCCAAGATGGACACTTTAAGGCATGCAACCCGATCACTGAGGCTCTGGTTTACGCTGGCTGTGTCCTGAATTTCACTGTTCATCTTTCATGTCTTGCTTCAAATTCAGTACCATTAAGGCTCACCTAGAGATTCTATTTATACAAATAAATTTATGAAACGTTAAAATACTTATATATTATTATTCACAATTAGTGTCCCGCTGTAAGACAAGACGGTGAATCTGAGCCTTACGCAGAAGAAGCACGCTTCTTCCTGGAGTCCAGATTGCTGCAGAAAGACGTCGAAGTAGTTCTGGAGTCCGTTAATAACAACAATATCGTGGGCACGATACTGCACCCGCAGGGTAACATCGCTGAGGCCCTACTAAGACAAGGGTTCGCGAAATGTGTCATGAAATCAGGTAAGTTGTTAATTTGAAAAGATTCTCTTTCTTACACCTTTATCATATAAGATTCGTCGAACCATCCAAGAGAATAAATAAAGTGTGATTAATGAATAATATGAGAAAAAAATATATTCTAGTTTTTTGTGTGAGGAAAATCCATAATTGTAATTTTGTTCACACCAATGTTATTTTTTTTTTAGATATTCTCTAATTATATTATTAATGTAATCAAATAACGATCAACGGTCTTAATTGATTAGTTCATTTATATATGTGATTATGCTGTTATATTTCAATTATAAAAACCCATTCAAATCTTGGGGTAGGTTCCAATCTTTAAAAAAAAACAGGTTTGTACCAAGAAAATCGTTCAGTAATTTATGCAATGATGGGATTGTCTGGTAAGGTGTGTTGTGGTGTGGGTAGCTATAACCATCCAACCTCATTCTATTGTAAAGCAATAATGAGTTCCATTACAATGATAGAATAATTAGACTCATTTATGCAAATAAGAACCAACCCACAGCAGGTTAGTTTCGAGAAAACGAGACTTTTGTAAACAGAATGTGCAAAATGCATAGATAGTATAATAATGAATGAATACTTTTTAAACCTATTTGAGATACTGTAACCTATCTAGCAATATCAGATTTATATAGTTTATGTAGTCAGTATAAAGTAAATCTTTAAAAACCCGGTTGGTTCTTTTTTGCAAAAACATATTTTGTTGCTTAGTTCCTTCTTGCAAAATGGATCTAAGATTGCATCTGTGTACTTAACTCAATTTCACCTAAATTGTGAGTTGGTTCTTGTTTGCATAAATGGGTCCAATTGTAACTCTTGTGTATGTATGAATAAGTGACGGCGTTCAACTTGCGTTATAAACAAAAATATGCTAATGCCTTATGAAATACAGGTGCGTCTACATTGAGAGCCGCTGAAAGTGCAGCTAAGGAAGCAAAACTGCGCATATGGATAAATTATGTAAGCAATGCACCTATAATCCCGGCGAAAGACAAGGAATTCACGGCCACCGTGTTGGAAGTAGTCAACGGAGACGCGCTCGTTGTTAAAACACATAGCAATGTACAGAAAAAAATATTCTTAGCTAGCGTCAGGCCTCCTCGTGAAAAGTTAGTATTTTCGTAAAATGCAATAAATTTAAAAAAACGCAAAATAAAACCAACCTGAGGCACTTCTAAATTTATTTTCTTCTAGGAGCAATGCTGACGACGACAATAAACCTATACCGAGGCCAAAAGGATTTAGACCTTTGTATGATATTCCATGGATGTACGAGGCACGTGAATTTCTTAGAAAAAAACTGGTTGGGAAAAAAGTTAATGTGACAGTAGATTACATTCAGCCAGCAAAAGATAATTTCCCAGAAAAGACATGTTGTACTGTCGTAAGCGGTGGCACGTAAGTTTATTTATAAAAGTGAATCATATAGACCTGAATAAAAATTTATTTCATTACATATTTGACCTAGATTAAATCTAAACTATTTCATGATACAGGAACATAGCTGAAGCTCTGGTGACTAAAGGGTTGGCAACATTTGTGAAGTATAGAAACGATAATGACCAAAGAAGCTCACAGTATGATAAATTATTGGAGGCCGAATTGAAAGCAGTTAAGGCCGCAGTTGGTATTCACAACAAGAAAGAAGTGCCCACCCACCGTGTGCAAGACACCAGTGGAGATCCAACGAAAGCAAAAAAATTCTTCCCATTCCTCAAACGTGCCCAAAAAACCGAGGCTACTGTGGAATTCGTTGCTAGCGGATCGCGTATGCGTTTATATATTCCTAAAGAATCCGTCTTAGTAACCTTTTTGCTTGCCGGCATTAACTGTCCCCGAGGTGCGAGACCTGCAATTGGCGGAGGACCCAAACAAAATGCAGAGCCTTTCGGAGAAGAAGCTTTGCAGTTCACGAAAGAAAAGTGCTTACAGCACGACGTCTTAGTCAGCATAGAAGAGATTGACAAAGCAGGGAACTTCATCGGTTGGCTCTGGGTTGACAACGAGAATTTGTCCGTTTCGTTAGTCGAACATGGCCTTGCCTCGGCGCATCACACGGCGGAAACGTCTGAGTTTGCACGCGCCATAAAAACCGCTGAAGAGAATGCAATTAAAAAGCGTATCGGCGTATGGAAAGACTATGTCGAAGAAGAAAAAGAAGTCGAAAAGGAGAGAAATGCAACTGTACAAGATCGTACTCTTAAATACGACCGCGTGGTCATCACTGAAGTCACTCCTGAAGGTCATTTCTACGCACAAAATGTCGATTTAGGTGTGAAACTAGAAAGTCTTATGGAAACTATACACACTGAGTTTAGAAACAGTCACCCATTGCCTGGATCTTATGCTCCAAGGAAGGGAGCCATCTGTGCTGCTCGTTTTACAGCCGATGACCAATGGTACAGGGCAAAGATTGAAAAAATAACAGACAATAGGCAGGTCCAAGTTGTATACATCGACTATGGAAATCGAGAGGTAAGCTTGATCTATGTGGCAGCTACTGCCTTGAGCCAGTACCTACTACTACATCCTTCCGTTACCAGTTGATAATTTTTTCCTTATAACTCTTTCCTAACCCATATATTTAATAACTAGTGATATCTATGAGGTCTCGGAGACGTCCTGTCTATTTTCTCACTCTCTAAATTGTATTATTTCTCTCCAGCCGTAACGAATCTGTCGCAAGTAAAATTTTACTCTCAACGCGCCTAAAGAAGTTTCACTTCAAAAACTTAGCGAATTATCTTACACTACAAAGAATCATACTATAATTGAATAGCTATTGTATTGTAAACTAATTTCTAGACTTTTTTTACTGTTCAAAGGTTTTCATAGTTTTCTTACAGAATGTAAATTTGTTGTTCTTTGTGATAAACATCTTAATTTCCTAAAGTTCTAATGAACAATAAAATATTTTTATTATTGAGACAAAAGAGAACTAAAAATAACATGAAACTTTAATTACTAGTTATTAGACACATTAAAACTACAAACAAAGAAGTACTTGAGAAGGTATAGCTAGCTATTAACTCGAAGCCTAACTTTTAAAATTTGGCAAATAGCAACTTTGAGATTGTATAAATAGTATAACTGTCATATAACTATACTAAAATATTTTAAGTTATTTCATATAATTAAACATATTTAATTAGTTTCCTTTTTTATTTCATTTAAAACTCAAATTGCCTCAAATACTAAACATTTCTGCCCAAGCCTGCGCTGCGAACTATACCACTACCTTTACACAAATACAACAATACCTTCAAAATTGTATTTTGATCAAACAATTTTCTTTACATGATATTATTTTAATATATTTTCAGACGTTAGACATAACCAGATTGGCAGCACTCCCGGTGGGTACTGAGCACGATTCGCCTTTTGCGACAGAGTATGTTCTCTGCTGTGTGAAATTCCCCTCGGACCCTGATGACCGAGCAGAAGCTGTAACCAGTTTCTATAATGATGTCGTTGGCAAGAGGCTGCTCTTGAATGTAGAAATCCGTGGATCACCAGCTGCTGTTACCCTTGTTGATCCTAACACAAACATTGATCTGGGCAAGGTAATCAACGAAAACATTTTTCCTTCTACCGTTCTTTATTATATTTACCTTATATTAATCCTGTTAATTTTTGTTTCGGATTACTTTGTACTAACCCCGTAAACATTTTGGAAAATAATTGTTTAGATTTTTTTTTTATTCCTTAAATGGGTGGACGAGCTCACAGCCCACCTGGTGTTACGTGGTTACTGGAGCCCATTAACATCTACGACGTAAATGTGCCACCCACCTTGAGATATAAGTTCTAATCTTGCTATAGTTACAACGGCTGCCCCGCCTTTCAAGCCGAAACGCATTACTGCTTCAAGGCAGAACTAGGCAGGGCAGTGGTACCATGCTTTGTATGCTTAGTTAAGCAGATGTCATATAATAATTTCCTTTGACAGAACCTTATCAAAGATGGGCTCGTGTTAGTGGAGCAGGTTCGTGACAGCCGACTGGCGACATTGATGGCCGAGTATCGCGCCGCTCAGGAGCACGCCAAGAGCTCGCGACTCAACTTGTGGCGGCACGGTGACATCACCGAGGACGATGCAGTGGAATTCGGGGTGCGTCGCTAGCTGTACGCCCCCGGCGTTGACGCCACCACATCGCCCACGCACATCCGCAACTGTGCCACCTGCACCACTGTAGATGTCGACAGCATCGTCCACGCCATTCTTTACCATATACTGTGAACTATAAACTGAACAATGAACTTTAAATCATGATGTAATTCAAACTTGGATGTTGTGAACAATTGTTTATTAATCAGAAGTTTATTATTGCTAATTACGATACGTGTGTTGTGCCGGAGGACATTACGATGGTGAGCAGTGAACACGGCAGCGGAAGGGGTGCCGCAACACTTACACGCTAGCATACCGAGCATAATTCATAAAAACATATTTTTTAAATTTACAAACATATTTTAGAAATTAAAACAGATTCATAACTATAATAGATTAAATAAATTATATAGGTCGCTGATTTAAATACTTAATTACCTACAAACTAATATATTAATATGTAACTATTTAAATAAATGAATTTATTGATAAATGCCTGTTGTTGGTCATAATATAAATGTGTTACAGATTTGTATATCAGGATTTATTGAAATTTATTGTATGTAGATTGATGTAATAGTTCTATATTTCATTGTTATTTCATATTATTTTAAATATACATTTTTAGTAAAATATATTCTTGAAAATAAATAATCCCATTTCCTTTCTTTGATGAAATTTGTTTATAATCTTCATGAAAAAAATTTAAAAAATATGAAGTATTTTGCATAAAATGTTATAAATTTAACAAATAAATTAGCATAATCATGTGACATTGTAGTTAGTGAGAACATGTATCTTGTGCATAATCAGAAGTCTGAATTTTCTATGTTTATTTAATTCTTAATGTATCGTGTTTGGAATGTATCAATTTCTATAGACATTTTAGCTTCCTTAAAGTTCGTACTTATAATTCATATTTATGAACCTACCTCTCCTGTCGGAGATGTTTTAATTTTGTTTACAAACAGTAGGGTACCATTAGGTGCGTGGATTGTTAAAGAACTTGGTAAAATAAATATTTTAGGAAAAATCAACAAAGTTTTTTGTTTGTATTCGCAGATTATAAATACATATTTTATTAAATAAAACAACTACATAAATATATTTTTCAGTAATTACTTTATTACACGTATAATTACGACAATTTATGTACGTAGTAATTGATTTCTTTACATTCATTGACAACAATTTCTAATTAAAATTCTTTATGACAAACTGCTGCTTGCAGTTACTATTGGGCTCAATTATTTGGCACCATCTAATTAATATCCATACAGAAAAATAAGTATTTTTAATATTGTTTTAATCAGATATAATAAACCAAAATCAGCACTACCTACTGTTCCCATAGAAATATACTACTTACCAAAGAACTATATTAACAAAACCCAATACCAACTATAATTGGAGACTTTCAACCGAATTAATCTCAGAAATACTCGTTTAAAATATTTTACTCTGTTAACAACTACGATCATTTTTATTCAATTGATATTTCGAAGACGGATTAATATGGCTATTTACTGATATACATGATATAATATGTATTACTTATGTAAATATCAATAATTTATTAAAAAAATACATCTTTTTTGAAAAATTCTATTTGAAATTGCTACAGTTAACTAGAAATACTTATCGAACATAAATTAATATTTAAGTTTAAATTTTAATAAAACTACAAATCTAATTTCTCACATTCGATTTGATTTTAGTCTTAAACAAATTTCTGAAATTATAAAACAGAACAAGATTTTTCGTGACAATCCATTTCAAATACCTTAAGCAAAAGAGGAGATTACTGCCATTAATTAAATAATACTTAATTAAATATACAGCGGAGTGGGTGTGTGTACTGAGAACACTTCACCATGCCTCTCGCACACCAACCCTTTATTGGTGTGAACATCATGAACTTTATGATATTATATTTATTTATTTTATACTTTTTTATCACCCTCTAATTTGTCAACCTACAACCAGATTTGTAAAGATAGGTACAAGGATAGTTTTTGTAATCTTACCACATATTTTTTTTTTAATTAAACTTAATCCATTTTACTATTTTAAGACAGTTAAGAAATTATAGTTATAACAAATCAATCTTTCAAACACTTAATTTTAATATAACCTATGTAAGATCGATTGCATTAATTAATTAACGAATATTTTTTCACTCCATTCATTTCACTCATAAGGCAGTTTCAACATTAAACTATTAATACTGGCGACAATTAAATCAGTTCTCGCATATTTATATTAATTTTTTACTATTATGCAATTTAAATTTCATAAATTTGTCACATCGAAACAACATACTAAGTACTACTTAGGGGATCTATTATCACGATGTAACTAACACCAACGAGATTAAAACACACAATGACAAATTTTGTACTATAACATTCCAAAGTTATTGTGCTAAACATTTATCTAGAACTATAAAATATGGATCTAAATTTACTCTGCAATAAGTACGTAAATATTTATTAATCGAATCATTAAACAGTGAGTACAACGCCAAGTCGAGCAGACTCATTATTTTTTTCAAAAAATGGTCCAATCTCACTTGGTAGTGCTGGAACGTTAACTAAAAATTGTTGCATTGAAGGATAGTATTCCCTACACGTCCAGGTGTCATCATGTCCTCCACCTGGTATGACCACCATTTGCTTGCAGATAGATCCACAGCGCATATACAGCTCTCTGGCCATGGATGGAGGCACTAAAGCGTCATTTGATCCGCATATCACGAGTGTAGGTGAAATGACATGTGCAATTTTATTCAAAGACATGTACTGAAATAGATACAGTAAGTTCATGAGATATAATTAACAATTAAAAAACTTTAGATTTTCTACAATTAAAAGATATGATAGATTAAAAAATGATATATAAAGAAAAGGAATTAAATTCAATCAAATTCCCAAATTCAATTTCTAAAACACAAGATGTTAGGCATCATTCCCACAGTAGAAAGAGTAATTATTATCTATGTATGAAAAACACTAATACTTTTAAGAAGTGAATATTTCAAGAACCCATTGTACGAAGACCCTGACCCCATGTCTGGAAATCTGATATGTCTGCCAATTTTTAATAACTTAATGTGCCTTACACGTTAGGCACTTTTGAAATGATTACTTTTAGAACATGGTGCTAGAGATGACAAGTGCTTCTATTTCTTGGTTTTTAGAAATTGACTCAATATTATCTAAAGATAAATGAAAATGTTATATTTTATGAACCCGCAATCAATGACCGCCCAGTGCATTATCATGTTTTTTATTGCTTGCAAAGGGTATTTTTTGTAATCCATTTAATCATCATTTTATTATTAAAACGTGCTATTAGTGTTAGCACCTTCATTTTGGAGAACAGACCTCATTGCTGTTTGCTTGGGATTCATTTTAAGTAATAAATGTTACATACTTATTGAGTAACATTTAAAAATACCTTATTTTTGTGGCAGAATTGTGGTAGCCAATTTAGGCATCTCCATTTTAAAATGATCTGTGCCATGTCTGGTATACTAGTGAAAGTATTTTCCACCACTAATGCCCAAATTTTGTTCCTGTATTCCAAACGAGATGCCAGATCAATTGCCACTGCTCCACCTAAAATGTCATTATCATAAATAGGGATGTTGTTTTTTTGTTTTTTATAATCATTAACAGCTAAAATTAGCCACTCTTACTCATTCTGGTCCTGAGCTAATCTTATCAAATTCTGATCTGTGAGTGTAGCTATTATGAATTTTGAAAAAAAAATATTAGAATAGTTGCCGCATGAACTGGTATATGTATTACACTAACCTAATGATCTTCCAAACAAAATAATCCTACTAGTATCAACATCAGTTCTTTCCAAGATGTAATCAATAGCACATTGGGCATCAATATATAGGCCCCGTTCGGACGGCGTTCCTTCTGATAATCCATAGCCTCTGTACTCAACCATAAGTACATTGACATTTAACTTGTGATAGAATCCAGATACATTAGACAACCTGTAACATCCAATACCTTTAATTATTTGAGGGTAGAGTATACTTTATTGTACACCAAAATAAATACAAATTCAAAACATTAAATACAAAAGTACAACAGGTGGCCTTATCCCCAAGAGTGATCTCTTCTAGAGAACCACCAGGTAGACAAGAATCCTTTAAGGATATAAATTAACAGCATTTTATTCATTCACTTAAAAAAACAATATTATAGCATGATATAGCTTAGGGGGGCTAATTATAATATTATTATATTATACATTTAATTATATATTATAATTATAATATTAAAGTAGTAATACTTTACACATAAAAAAGAAATAAGCAATTAACAACTAATTTTAAAATATTGCTCCATAATCCATCCCTTGAAGGTATATTCGACAAAAAAAGAACCTGGAATCATTAATTGCATATTCTGATAATCTCAGGGATATGTGCATCACAGACAAACTCTGTTTTTATTTTAACAATTTTAAATAGTTTCTTAAATATTAGATTTATAGTGATAATTTGCCTGTCTTATCAGTTAACAAATACTAATTGTTTATATACAAATACTATATGCTAATTTTGTAGAATAGTTTTCTTTTGTTTTAAATAAATTTAATTACTGCCAACCTTTGCCCCATATTTCCAGCATTACCGTGGAAAAATATCATTGTAGGTATATATTTGCTATTGAATGGCTGCTTTACAAGAAACATGTGTATTTTTAATCCATCTTTATTGTTAATTTTTATACTTTCATATGGCAACTTGTAATTACTTGGCTGAAGAACAAAAACTCTTGAGTCAGGTGGATCATTGGGATAGTAAAGCAGCAAATCTTGAGCGCAGTAAAGAATGCCTGTTAAAAAAAAGTGAAAATTAGGTACTATTATGGCAATCTGTGTTTTGATTAAAATTATATTAAATTATTATAAACTAAAATTTTCCATATGCCAAATAGGTTAGGCTTGAGATTTTAGATTTACAGAAATAACAATTCATATTAAGATTTGAAGAATTTTTTATATGTCATTATTCCGTTTCTTACCTGATATGCCTAAGGTGAATATACCAAATGCTGTTAAGAACCCATGAAACCAAAATAGTAAAATACTAGAAAATAGTGTTATAGTGGATACAATCAAAAGTCGGTACAGTAAAACCCTCACTACCTGATACATTTCTATTTTTTAAATTGATCTATCTAACTACATAACAACCTATAGGTATTTCAGGTACATTGAATTGATTAAAGTTGGCACGACTACAAATGTACAAAATCAAACAACTGTGAACTGATAGTCAAATTTAGACTTGACAATTTTTAAAAAGTTTTACAATTTGTGCTCAAAAATAGGTTTTGTGGGGATTGTTTCACTGAAGAAAACGAATAAAATTCCATATGTCTCATGTCTGTTTCTAATTCCTATTTAATAGTTTGCGATCATGAGTCGTATTGTAAAATTTCTCCCAATTTCTTAAATTGTTTTGTTATTGTGTAGGTAATCTATGGAAAATTAAGATTAAAGTTTGAAGGTGTTTAACTTTTTGTGATCAACGGCTACAATATCATGCAGCCGTTGCAAAAAAAGTTTGTTGTGTAGGTATCTAAGGCTTCGGTCGGTGGAACTTCCGCGCTCACTTTGAGAAGTTGGGCCCTCGACTGATGGCGACGGCCGGCTCTTTGAGCCGGCTGCTTCCAAACGTCGTGGGTCCCGATCAGGTGGCGCGCCGCCTCTACATGGGGGTGGTGCGGTCGATGGCACTATACGGGGCTCCCGTATGGTGCCACGCCCTGACCCGCAAGAACGTCGCGGCGCTGCGACGTCCGCAGCGTGCGATCGCGGTCAGGGCGATCCGAGGATACCGCACCGTCTCCTTCGAGGCGGCGTGCTTGCTCGCCGGGGCGCCACCCTGGGACCTGGAGGCGGAGGCGCTCGCTGCCGATTACCGGTGGCGTAGCGACCTCCGCTCTAGGGGGGAAGGGCGCCCCGGCGAAGGAGTAGTTCGAGCGCGGAGGCTCCACTCTCGGCGGTCCGTGCTGGAGGCGTGGTCTCGCCGCTTGGCGGACCCGTCGGCCGGCCTCCGTACCGTCGAGGCGGTCCGCCCGGTTCTCGCGGACTGGGTGGGCCGCGACCGCGGATGCCTCACCTTCCGGCTGACGCAGATGTTGACCGGCCATGGGTGTTTTGGCCGGTACCTCTTCAAGATAGCCGGAAGGGAACCGACGGCGCAGTGCCACCACTGCGCGGACCGCGACGAGGAAGACACAGCGGAACATACATTGGCGCGTTGCTCTGGATTCGACGAGCAACGCGCCGCCCTCGTCGCGGTCATAGGAGAGGACCTCTCGCTGCCGCGCGTCGTGGCTACGATGCTCGGCAGCGACGCGTCCTGGAAGGCGATGCTCGACTTCTGCGAGTCCACCATCTCGCAGAAGGAGGCGGCGGAGCGAGAGAGGGAGAGCTCTTCCCTTTCCGCACCGATCCGTCGCCGTCGAGCCGGGGGCCGGAGGCGGGAATACGCCCGTACGTCCCGGCCCCTGTAGGTGGCGGCCTCCCCCCGGTGAAGGTCAAGGGGCGACCTGAGGGGGTGAGGCCGCGCGGCGCGCTACCAGCACTCTAGCGCGCTGCCGTGGAGTGAATAGAGCGACCGGTCGACGGTGTATCGCGTCCCGACCCGGCAGGCTGGTTCTGGTCCAGCGGGGTATTCCGGGACACCAGCGGCACCGTCTGGGCGGCCCGACGGGCTGCCGTACCGAGACGGCCGACGTTTCAGAGCCTTCGATTCGCCTCGAAGGCTCCGTCGGCTGGGCGTCCTTGGGGTGAGCCGCGCCGTCTGGTTGTAGTGTTGACCGCGGTAGCCCCCCTACCTCATCCGGGTTCTGACCTCGGAGGGGATCGGACGTCGGGTGTAAGAGTGCAGGGGAGTCGTTTAGTGGGTGGGCTCTAAAATCCTTGGGCCCGCGGTCTGCTCACAACACCATGCAGATCGTTGAGTCTCACATACCCCGCGCGCCCCTTTTGCGCGGGGACCTCGTAGGAGGTTCGGCCCTCTACCCGAAAAAAAAAGAAAAAAAAAAAAAAAAACGGTATCTAAGGCTTGTCAAGGATTTATCCTCAATGCAGATAGTGGACTCTCTGAATAAATTTCTTCTGAATTATCTTTCGACAGCTTTCTTTATCCTCGGCTACGTATGTATGACCTATTGAACTTCTGTCTCTAAATTCAAACGTTCCAATTGGAGACAAATTTAAGTTAATTTTTACGCTATCGCTAACGTTAAAAACTCGCATTAAGCACACAAGCTATAGTCACCGGTAACTACAAGGAACTCTCCTTGTAGTCACCGCAATCTCGTCGCAATAATATAGCTTTCCGTAGCAGTCTTCAGATACTTTCGGATGCGTTCCAAATCTGGATCACTCACGTACTACTCTTACAGAGTACTCTTACTCTACTACTAGACAGTTAAGCTAAGAAACCGAGATTGTTATTGTAAGGAGTCCGTTCGAATATGGACTGCGAAATTTAGGTCTTCTTATCTTTATATCCAATTAATTTATTATAAGAAAACGCCTCAAAGTTTTTTTTGTTTGGTAGTACTTCGAGTGGCTATTATGGCTTCACCATGACTTGCAAGGGACAACTTGAAACGATATGCTAACACTAGGCCTAGTAAAAGCAGAGAGTTTCGCTGAATATACTATGGGGTCAGCATCACGTCCTCTCGATCCATTAACGGTGCTTTTAGTGCATTAACGGTAGGCAGCGGCTTGGCTCTGCCCTTGGCATTGCTGAAGTCCATGGGCGACGGTAACCACTCACCATCAGGTGGGCCGTATGCTCGTCTGCCTACAAGGGCTATAAAAAAAAATGTACCACAAGCACCGGTCACTGTCCTCGTCGAATGCGTCGCTTGCGATGAAGGGCTCGACGAGTGAATTAACCCACAGACATAGCCCACTAAGTTTCTCGCCGGATCTTCTCAGTGGGTCGCGTTTCTGATCCGGTGGTAGATTCTGCGAAGTACTGCTTTTGCTAGGGCCAGTGTTAGCAACACTCCGGTTTGAGCCCCGTGAGCTCACCTGCACGTTAGGGCGACGCTGAAATAGCCTCTCAAGGCTATCAGTATAGGTAGGAAAAAAAAATCCGACCCACTGAGATTTATCCACTAACGGCGCTTTCTGGCACCTCAAGCACCAGTCACAGTTCTGGTCAAACACGTCGCTTGCAATGAAGACTTCGGCAAGTAAAATAAACCACAGACAGAGCTCACCGAGTTTCTCGCCGGATCTTCTCAGTGGGTCGCGTTTCCGATTCGGTGGTAGACTCTGCGAAGCACTGCTCTTACTAGGGCTAGAGCCTTGTGAGCTCACCAACTCGCTCGGCGACGCTGGAATAGGCTCTAAGGCTACCAGCTAAGGTAGGAAAAATTGTTGCATGCGTTTGTTTTAGAGAAAACGGTGACTTCAAACGGATCCTATGACAATTTCCCACACCTCCAGGCTTTCAAATTATAGTCTGGGAGCCAGTGACAGATTTTCATAACCAAGTCCCTCCCAATCGAAAATTCGTGAAATGCATTAGGGACTTATAATATGAATACTCGCGACCGTCAGCTGCGACTCCGTGAGTGGGGCGGGCGGTGGCAGCCTCCCACGCATGGAGAAAAAAAAGTTTTTTCATTCATTTCCTCCAATTTGAAATTTTGTCAGATTATAGTTAACCTAGTACTTTGAAGGAAAAAAAAGTCAGCTGGCCATAACATGGTGGATTATACGTCAGCTGGCTGCTGAACATGAAAAAAAATTTTATATTTTCAATGATTTCGTCTTAAAAATTTACCTGATGATTGTTTGTATTCTACTATGAATGAAAATTAATGTCAGCTTGCTGTATCTCAGTGGAAAGTTTGTCAGCTGGTACCTTGAAAGGTGTAACGCAGCAGCATCTATCACCTACTGAATCTTATCAGCTAACGACTTTTCCCTTGACTTACAGCTAGCTGATTTCTTTCATTATTTACTAGAGTATGTTAACACTCCTCTTATAAATTTTCGTCCGGGAGGAAATAACGAGCTGACGGTGCGAGTATTCATATTATAAGTCCCTAATGCATTTTACGAAGTTTCGCTCGAGAGGATATAATTGACCGAAACTGTACTTGGCTCCTGGACCATTATAACAAACTAAAAATAGTTTTCTTGGTAGCGACTAGACCAATATTAAAGAAGTAGCAGGTAGTGAAATAGATGAGTAGAGTGTACGTTATTTTATAGATTCCTTTCATGCACAAGTTACTCAAGGAAAGCAGGAATTAATGTTATTTTAAAAAATTAAATTAATCAAATAAGTAAAACGACAAAAAATATTTTATTTCTCAGAGTATTCATGATTTGTTTTTAAATAACAGTTATTAAATTTCTTATTGACTGCGTACAATAAATACTTTACAAGATAAAATACGGTAAAAGAAAAAAAGAAAAAAAAACATTACAAAACTGATTTATGGAAACTTGAAATATTTTTATACAAACAGTTCATAAAATGCATTTAAAAGCAAAATTTATATTTTCATCTTTTTTACAATATACAGAAATACGTAATTCATAAAGTTAATATGGACGTAAAATAAATTATGCTTTATTTATAAATGATTTAATAATATATTTTTGCGTCAGAGACTGAGTTACAAATAATAAAAATAACAAGCGTCAAACAGTTAACATGAGTAAAGTATGTAATCATGAATTAAAATGACCTAATTTTTCATTTATTCATTTTTGCAAATTTAAATTATTGAATAAATAATTACAACATGTATTCCTTTGCATTTTAATATTGTTCAAAATATCCAGCTACGTGCTATTTTACTCGAATAATTAACGTAAGGTTTCTTTTTAATCCTGTATATACAAAATGATCCATTTATTACTAGAGAAAAAAATAGGCACTATAATCTTTGTACTCGTCAGTTTCGTTAAAAATGTCTTCAAAATGAATATTTCAGCTAAAATAGTTTTAAGCTCTTTTTATAATTCCAGATATTAATAATCAATTCAAGATAACATCCGCAGGCTTCGGAAGCATATTGCGGTGTATGCTTATTTTGTAAATGAAGGCCTCATTCGCACGGGAGTTTTTTTAGCACGCGTTAAAAGCGTTCAAATAGAACAGA